TTCTGTGCTCAATTTAAAATCGTGCTGTGTGGAGACAAAAATAACAAGACGATAGAAAAGAGGAAGAGAAGTAAGCTTGTATTGTGCAATAACAAACACTGGTCTTTCATCCTATACTTTCTAAGGGCAAAGACTGAACGAGTTTAGAGTGGACATTCTATGAAGGTGGTGGTGGTGGTGGTGGAAGTAGGGAAGATATGGTAGTGGTGGTGGTGGTGGTAATGACGTTGTTGTCAGTGAGTGATGGTTATGGTGGTAGTTGTCGTGGTGGTAAAAAGGGGGGGGGGTTGACGGTGGTGGTGGAGGTAGTAGTAGTGGTTTTAATTAAGATAATGATGACAATTAGAAGGAGGAAGGGGTAGACGAGGTGGGATGAGGAGGAAGAGGAGGAGTATAAAAGTAGGAATATGGTGTTGGTAGGGGCTTTAGTGGTGATTAAAAGGATTTGAGGAAACACCCCACACGTTTTATCATTTTAACCCAAACAGTAATTTCACCTAAAACTAAACTGGATTCGAGGGTGGCTGGTGGGTGTTCTGGTGTGGTTTGCTGCTTTTTTCCTATCAATAATCTATTGTTCTTATTTCTCCTCCTTTTTAGTGCTAGTTACTCCCTTGAAACACTTCTAATCTTTAGCACTTATATGACCTAATTGTGTTGCAAGTGTCGTAAAACGCTTACTAAAAGTCAAACAAAAAATGGATGAAAAAACATGAGGTTAAACATTGCCTCGCCATCATACAGATTTCGTGCAAAATCCGACAAACGTCTACAAATACAAAAAAGCTCTTTAGTATAACAAGGCGTACACTCAAAATCTCATCCCGGGCTTAACCTTTCTTATGTGTAGGTTTCCCAGACAAAGTCAGAAAAAAACAACAATACTTCCTCAAGCATAAATCTACATGTATCCACAGCGAGTCATAAGTTTCAGTTATGAAAATATTTCGCCCTTGACATTCACAAAACCAGTCGTCATTCACCTGCAAGAATGCAGAATCTCAGACCCAAAAAACCCACAACAGACCAAACAAAAAAGAACAGAATAAAAACACAAGGCTGTTGCCCTATTCTCCACCCTCTGATCGTTTCCCCATTTAGACTCTCTGATCACAAAAAACCTATCCCATCGTTCTCCCAGCCCACTTTCTTCCGCCTCGTCTGCGCCTGCGCCGTGGCGAAGAGGGCGGAAATACGTCTGCTGTTTCCGGTCTGAAATCGAACAGCGTCCCTGGAGGTAATCCGATTCCACTTAAGTCATAGAAGTGAGAAAAAGGAGAGACTGTGTAAAGGTGAGAATATGTAACGAGAAATGCAGATGAAAAATATCTATAGATAGATAAGGGGGGTGGGGGTGGGGGGTATGCTATAATCTCTACTTTAGAACGTATTGCAGTCAGTGACCAACTAACTGAATACAACCTAGTTGTACAAATTATAGAGGTGTAGACGCATACATCTCATCTTCTGATCAAAACCAATGTAAGCGAAGATAACATCGATTGAGGCATACTATGCGTAATATAATTTTAACACAAACTTGCACTAGCAGTGCAGAACAATTAGAAGGAAAGAAACGTGGAGGGGGAATCAAGTTCAAGACGCCAATTAACAAACAGACTGGACAGTGGACAGACGTGGAAGAACAGGACAATGCTGCAAGACAGATTGACTTGGAGAGTCAGGGCATGTCTACACTATAGACTAGCCATGGGACAACCACTCCTGATCTACAGCCAATACAACATCAACAACTAAGCCACATTAGGCTATATCATGCCATACATCGCACCTCTACCCTAGCCAGCCACGGGACCGCATCATACGACAACAATAACAATGACAATAACAATAATGACAGTACCAACAACTGCAACAATAACAACGACAACGACAACCACAACAATGAAAACAACAACAACAACAACAACAACAACAACAACAACAACAACGCCGCCGACGACGACGACAACAAAAACAACAACGAAAACAGTAACAACAGCAGCAACAACAACGAAAATTTGTGCGTGTGAAACAGTTTGGTTTTCGTCTCTTAGTGCTTAGGCTATACTTGTATGGGATAGAGCACTATTATATTATTATGACCAATATTATCATCATTCATCTGCCCGCAAACAAAAATAAGGATCTAACAACAACAGCAACAACAACAACAACAACAACAACGACGACGACGGCGACGTCGACGACGACAACAACAACAACAACGATAACGACGACGACAACAGCAGCAACAACAACAGCAACAACAATAACAGCAACTACAATAACAACAACAACAACAACAACAACAACAACAACGACAGTGACAACAACAGCAGCAACAACAACAACAGCAATAACGACGACGACGACGACGATGATGACGACAATCACGAATAAATACAAAAGTGACAGCAATAACAGTAACCCCAACTACTACAGCAACTACTGCAATAATACAAACAATAACAACAATCAGCAGCAACTTTTTTAAAAATCAGGAGCAACTTAAAAAAACAAACACAACAGATACAACGATAACAAGTACTTTTCATAGCAAAAACCAATAGCAAAAATAGAAATGGCACTTTACATGACCATGTGGCAGTAAGAAAAAAGTTCTGAACACACCTCTGAACTCGACTTTAAGATTTTCCCTGTCCTTGCACATCTGAGACCGCAATAAAAGCTTGGTTGTTGTTGTGATTGTTGCTGTTACTTTTGTTGTTGTTGTTGTTGTTGTTGTTGTTGTCCTTGTTGTTGCTGCTGATGTTACTGTTGTTGTTGTTGCTGTTGCTGTTGCTATTGTTGTTGTTGGTGGTGGAGGTGTTGTTGTTGTTGTTGTTGTTGTTGTTGTTGTTGTTGTTAACTTTTTTTCTTCTTCTTTTTCTTCTTCTTCTTCTTCTTCTTC